ACAAAGGAACAAAGCTTCAGTACCTATTTTCGCCTTTTTAAACATTGCTTGTACGAGCATACCTTCTTGCTTCTGGTCATGTTCTTATTTTGATGAATGGATTTTCTTTGCCTACGGCGATCTTGGGGTGTAGGCAACAGGAGTATATCATTGTTCTGTAATTCTATTAGGTCCATTTGATTTTTGTAGATACAACTGTTGGCCATTGTTGATGAATGGACGACTTGAGTGCACCACTGTCCTTCTTTCCTTTGTTTTTCTTGCATGTTCCACATTTTTTTCTTAAGCTTGTTTCTTTCCAACACAGGCCTTCAGAAGCGTGTCTGTTTGCATGTTAGTGTTCAACCTGAGTTTGAAATATGGTCAATCTTCTTATTCTTTATTCTAGGATGTTTCTTTAGGATCATGAGCAATATTCTGCTATCTTCTTGCATTATATGTTCATATAGGTTCAAGTTCAGAGATGCATCTCTGCACATTATTTTAGTTAGTTCTTGAGAAAAGAAAATAGAGAAATATGCACTACTTGTCTAAATGAAAATTGGCAATGCTGGTGGAAAACCCTTCCATTTAAATTCTCAAGGGTTCCAAATTCCTTTCCTAATTAAGCTATATCTGGAATTCAGTTTTAACTTTTGAGCTCTCATATAGCCTTGAATGATAGAGATTACATTCCAACATATTCTTTATAATGATAGATTCTTTGGAACTTGAGATTCCTGTCAACTTTCCTGCAAGATCAATTAACCTTGTATTAAAAATCTCAATTTTTGATTGGACTAAATTCTCTGCCAACTTTTAGTCAGAGAAGCGCAAGCAACATCTTCTCACTGAAATATTGCTAGAGGAGCAACGAGGACGGGATCTCTCCAAAATTGTTAGAGATTTACTTCCTGGTTTAAGGACTTTATCTGTTGCTCAGAAGCCATCCCGAGCTAGAAAGGTGTGGTGATCCTAGTGATCATTGTTATATCGATGTGGTGGTGTTGGTGTTAAATTATCATCCTCACCTTTTTTTTCTCATATTCCAGAGAAGTAGTGACAAAAGTCGGGCATCAAAGCAATTGAATGAGGAGGCAGAAAAATATTTCGTGGACTTCATTTCTAATGTTGAAGACACGGACATATCTTCATTTGATGGAGAAAGAAGTGATGGAAGTTCGACCATAGGGGGCACTCGAAAGGCAGGAGATTCTTCAATAAGAGCAGAAGCCGAAAGCTATCAAAGTCCCGTTGAAATGGAGGGTGTTCTTTTACCTTGGTTGAAGTGGGAGACTATTCCCGATGGTTCTCTTTCAGGAAAAAATAAAGCACAGACTCCTGTCACTCCAAAAGCACTACAGTGGGACTCAGAAAAGGTGACGTTTAACTTGCATGCACTTGCTGATATGATCGTATCGAGCATCCCTTAAAGCATGTTTGGCCAAACTTTAAAAGTTGACTAATAAGTAAATAAGGTTTAATTTAAATAATTAATTTTAGCGACGAAAGTTGGAAACATGTTGATGTGATACCAACCTGAGGGTTATGTTCAAAATAAGAAACTATTTTAACTATGCTTCTGATAGACAAGAACTAGAAGCTAGAAGAAAGCTATCTAAACATGTTTGGGAACAAAAGTAAATTTAACTTCTTTTTATCTGTAGCCGAACAAGCCATAGTTCGACAAAAAATTGTATCTTTTTCTATGGTAACCATTCTTTTTGGATATCAATTATGCTAAATGTTTGCTTTAGTTGCACAATCGGCTACGAGTTCTTTAATGTGGGGCAACTAGAATTGCCCAACTTTGTCCCTGTTTGAGCTACATTAAAATTTTCATTCGCATTTTTCTACTCATTTTTAACCACACATTCTCCATCAATCTACTATTCCAAAATACATTTTTTCAAAATAATATGGCTCAAACACACCCTTTGTTTATAATCTGGAATTAGCTTTTGCTCATTTTGGGAATTTGATTGTACAGTGCTTGACATTATTATTAAAAGAAAAAGATGCTATCATATTATCCATTTTGATGTACTGTTAATGCCTGTATCTTTGTCGTCGTCGTAAAAATTTCATGAATTTTTGAATTTATTCAGGACGGAATCTCATTAAATGACTCAACTAATCATTCAACCAGCAGTCATGGGAGTTGGAGTCCTGTATCCTTGAATAGTACTCCTTCAAATGGAAGAGAATACAGTGGAGGCAAAACCAGACAATTTGGTGATGAACTAGTATCGCCGCATTTTAACACAGACAAATACCTTAAACTCGAGAATAGCGAGGAAGTCTTGTTTGAAATGTATAAAGAACGAAACAGAATTAAATCTGGTGGTCTTTTGCTTTGTAACAGCGTATTTTAGTTATTTTTTTGGTAAATTTGTATGCTCGTGGTGAATGGATTTAAAAGTATATAAAGCTTCATTTTTAGATAACGAGATTTATCATTGGTACACTAAGAGTATTTTCAAGAGATTCTTTAAAGATGAGATATTTTCTGTTTTAAAAAGTCAATATTTAAAATTATGCTCCAAAAAATTTTTTAAATTAACATTTTAATTTAGAGAGCCAAATTCACTTTATATAATTAAATGCATTCAAAGAGCTTCAATTTTCAATGTAAGAAAA